AATAAAAATGATTTATTTGTTTTTGGTAAAGAATAAAAATGGTTTATAAGACACTGATCACATTGATTTGTCCATAAGTTAAAAATATATTATCCAGAATAAACAAATCTATATCTATATAATATAACAAAGCCAACCATTGAAGAACCGTTTAGATAATTATTGACATGTGACAACTTCTTGGTAAGGAAAATGTGACACGTGGCAACACTATGAATGAAAAGCTATCCAATTTCCAAAACTCCACTCTTATGCATGTATTCCAATATTATATTATAATATATGTAGTCTTCTCTAATGTCAGGTGTAGTTTTAACTAAAAATACTTGATAAGTTTAATTTAAAATATTATTGAATCATTGTTATATTAAAATCTGATAACTATTAAATAGTATCTAGCAAAAACACTTATTGTACGAAAACTATATAAAATTACATCTTTTGAATCAATATTTGTGAACAATGATTATTAATTATTAAAAAATTGTTTTCAACTATAACATAAAGATATGTGGAAGAAACTTATTTGGATAACTATGATAGAAGTGACATTTCAAAAAAGGCTGTAAAATAATTAGTATATTTGAAAATAATTTTGGTAGTGTTGGGGTACTGGGTCCCACCCGAACGGGTAGTCAGCAAGTGGAGGCCGCATTTAATGTTGAAGTATGGCGGCAGCAAGTGGGGGCATGGGGTTCCTACGTGGCAGGGGATACTACCTACCGGATTCAGCCACGTGTCCAGCTTTCCCATCCCCATTTAACTATAAATAACTGCATTAAGATCATTGTAAAGGGTTAACATTTTTATACTCAGAGTTTAGCAAGTAGAAACAACTTCTCTTATTCTTGTATTCTTGTACTTACCTACCGTTCGGGTAGTTTCGGTGTAATCACCGAATTACCAAGTACAAGTTAGCTTCTGAGTTGATCAATATTTCACCATTTTTTATTTTATACACCTTTTAAACCAACCCAATATCCCTACAATTTCCAAAACTTGTGTTGGGCTTTCGGATCTTCGGGAATAAACCTCAACAATATATATATATATATATATATATATATATATATATATATATATATATATAGTCCCGTTCCTATCAGGAGTTCCTGAAGAGCAGGCCCGTGCGGACAAGCCCATCAGAGGGTCTTCCCGGTAGAATTTTTTGCTGAAATTTTTTGAGCATGTTCCTCATCAAGTCTAGTTTATCCATACCAAAATTCAGCTCAAAATTCGATCGGGAAGGCAGTCAAATAAATTCTGGAAACATACTGCACATTATATGTGCGCAGAATGCTCAGTATTTTTCCAGAATTTATTTGACTGCCTTCCCGATCGAATTTTGAGCTGCATTTTTGAATGGATAAACTAGACTTGATGGAGAACATGCTCAAAAAATTTCATCAAAAAATTCGACCAGGAAGACCCTCTGATGGGCTTGTCCGCACGGGCCTGCTCTTCAGGAACTATGTATATGAACTGCCCTCTCTCTCTCTCTCTATATATATATATATATATTTACACACACACACACACACACACACACACACACACACACACATATATATATATATATCGGGTAGAGATCGGCGGTGGCTGAAGGTCGGTAGCAGTGGTTGGGGCTGGGCACTCCACCAAAAGGCAGGGGTATATTTAATTTGTCCAAACACACACAATTGGACATATTCAGGGAATTCAAAAAAAAATGTAGTCGTATTTTTTAATTTAGTCATGTTTTACTCCTCTTCGGGTAATTTGTTCTTAAAAAAATCATCAATTAAAAAAACAAAGTATAAAAACATAAATCAAAGTTTAAAAACAGAAAGTGTGAGATGTATGAATAATTTGATTTCCGGTTTAAATACTCTAGCAATATAACACATTTTGTTTTGCGTCTCTGCAAATATGTTGATTTTCTTTTTAGTTCATCAGTGGTAATAACAACATCTGTTTGACAGTGAAACAATCCGACTAATGGGGTTTCTTGAATTCATTGTCGTATTGTTCCAAAAGTATTTAGTTTTTATTTTTCAAAGGTTTTTAATACATATTTTAAAAACATGAATGATTAGTTTTACATTGTTTTAACCCTCGTGTTAGACTAAAAAAAATAAAAAGAATAACTTTAATAGTTTCTAGTGGATTTATGCAACCTACCATAAAATAAATTCTAAATAGACTGATTTCGGAGTAAGAGATGAATTAAAAACAAAATAGTGCATATTACGAGGATGAAAAACAAAAAAATTGCAAAAACCTAAAACAAAATGTTTCATATTTGCAGAAACTAAAAATGTATTTAAGTCTCCATTTTAAGTAAATATCATTGCACTTGTGTAATAATTTTAGTAATCATGATTTTACGCACTCACGATCATGTTAAAAAGTGCATTAAATTGAAAGCAGGGTGCATCTTAGTGTTAATGATTTGTGAATTGATTTGAAAAAATTTAGTGTAAGTGTTAATGATTTGTGAATTGATTTGACAAAATTTAGAGTGTTCTGTGTATGTATATAAGATTAAATGGTTCAAAATATTTGTGTGTATTGTGCATGAATACAATATTATTTGGAGTGACTGATTAGTGAGTACAAACAAAATGTATGGAATATACGCAAAAGTATAAGTATAGGCATGAAATATGCACAAGATTGACTTGGATGAATATGTTCTTATATTTTAGACAAAAATATTAATGTAGGAAATCTTGAATGAATAATTCTTCTTATAATGAAGACACATCTCATTACAAGATCTAGAATGCTTCTTGACTTTTTGGCATATTTATAATAGTGAATGAACACCTATTTTTTTTTTTGGAAATTGAATGAACACCTCTTTAGCACTCTTAGTTCTCTAAAATTTTATAAACAAAGCCAATTCAGACTAAAGTTATTTGGGCCTTGTTTCTCTCATTATTTTCAAAACCTAGGCTATTATATATGGCTAATTTTTGGGTTCAACTAAACCCGCCAAAATAGGATTCATCACACCATTTTGGATTCATCACACACTGCTAAATTATTCCCTCAAAACGCTCTCTTAGGGCATCTCCAATGCATGAGGGAATTGGGATGCCAACTCACCAAATGCACTCTCTATACCAATATGTAGTTTCCAATGGTAATATAAATGGACTCCCACGAGCTAACATAGCAAAGCACACGTCTAGCAAAGGGTCTACATTGAGACCCTTGGTGCCACCTCGTGACACACAACCCAAGCAAGTACAAAACATCTCTTCATTACTTATTGTTTTTTCCCTTCCGCACTGGAGCTTCTTCCAAATGCACCATACCCTTCTTGCTCACATTGGCTCTAGACTTTCTCCATTTATTAGCCACATAAGCTCCAATGCACTCACCCATTGGAGTCGCTCTAGGGCTCTAAGCCTATCATCATTGCCCTACAAGGGCACCCATTAATCCAGAATACTGGGCATGAAGTTTCATGTTTGGAATATTAACATGATATCTTCCATTGAGAGATTATGTTCACTTTAATTTCTTGATCTTGACATCCGTTCTAAAAGTTGACATATTCTAAAGAAGAAAGAAAAAAGAAAATAAAAATTCATACCAATTACGAATTATGAACATGAATGACATGTTTGTCTATTAATAATGTGGCAAGTTAGACCCACACCATTATGAACTAATAATTTAATATCTTTATCATTATTGTGGATGCTCTTAATAATGGGATTTTGTCATGAATATTACTAAAAGTTTGAGAATGGACAAAAAAAAAAGTGATCTGTTACAGACCAGACCAGACCAAACCAAACCAGACCAGACCAAACTTGGATAGTTATAAAAATACAAAGAAACCAGACCAGTTCAGACCAAACCATACCAGCAAATTACAGTCGAAGTAAAAAAAATTATATGCATAAAAAACTGCTCATTTTTTAAAATATTTTTTAAGTGACTTCCCGATTAAATTTTAATCTGAAATTTGGTAGATATAATATACACTTCATGCAGAACATTCTCACAAAATTTCATAAAAAAATTCATTCCGGAAGCCCCTCAATTGAAAGAGGCCTAAAATTTTAACTTTTAGGCCTACCCTACCTTACATGAATATTTTTCACTATTGTGGTACCTATCGAAAAGACAAGCATACATATAAATATAAATTTTGTGAATCCAAGTGTTTAAATGGATAAAGCTATTGTGGTACCTATCGAAAAGATAAGCATCCATATAAAATTTGTGAAGACGTTTCAGTATACATAGTCCATGGATAAATAACAGGTAGTCAGGTACCACTTCGTGAATTCGTTTTTAAACTAAATATATATAGTGACCCCAACTCTTTGATCTTGAATGTTGGTGACTTTGGGGTCGAAATTCGGTTCTCATTGACATGGTGTACATAGGGGTGGACCGGGTCGGGACGGGATCTGGGACGGGCTTGGGCGGGCTCCGGGTCCAAAATATTCAAGCCCAGTACCGGCCCAAGTTAGTACCAGGACCGGTCCGGGCCGGGTCAGGTCGGGCTCCAAATATATATTTTTTGTCTTTTCCAATTAATTCCACCTCCCCCACCACCAAACCGCCCAGCCCCACCTACCTAGCAGTCAGTCCAATGTAAAAAAAAAAAAATACAATTAATTGGGCTCGGCCAGACCGGGTCGGTCACCTAAAAAGAGAGCCCATAGCCCGCCTCAGTATATCCCAAGTCGGTTGACCGGGCTGAGCATGGACTACATAGTACCGGTTTGGGACGGGTCCCGAGTCGGGCCGGCCCGTCCCAGTCCACTACTAAGTGTACATGTGTCTGGTACATATCAAAATTCAAAACAACTTTTTACGTATCTGTTGAGATTTCATTTGGTACAACTCGATAATTACTCTTTCTAATTTTCTATGACTAACAAAAACAAAAAGAACACATAATTTGGTCATCATTTTGGTGATAAAAAATATTTAGGTGATACGAAATAGACTCGTTGGAAATAAAATTAAAATATATAAGTGATTATTGACTCTAGAAAAAAAAAATAGATTAAATATACTCCGTATATGTCATGAATTGGTACCCTCGTTATAAATTTCAATTTATTTCTATTTAATAGGCTGGAAATAAACTGAAGAGTAAAAGCTAGTACATGATCTAACTAATCATTAGGTGATTTTTTGTTTAAACCGACAAAGAAAGATGCATAGTAAACTAAAAATCTGCCCTCCCATCCCTTCCCTCCAAAATCCCCGAACCAAGCAAGCTCGAGAACAATAGTGTGCCCCTTCACACATGCTTCTTGATGCTCGGTTAATTATTAGAATAAATCTTCAGAGAGATGGTTTTAAGTAGTGATTCTTAATTTAATGACACTCCAAGCTTCAAAGATCAGCAGAAGAGGAAATGTTTTGTGCAAAATGGGTAAGGTATGCTTCAGCCAACATTTTGCCAAGTTGAACCTGAGCTTCTGTAGTCAAATGGAGTTTATCATCCTTGAGTTGCAATCCTAAGGCATCAACACAAACCACATTTGGAAGGTTAATCATCTTTTGTGATTTTCTTACTTCTCCAATGTACTTTTCATCCCCTGATGCAATAGCAACCTGAATGGATAATATTCATCAAACAACATAATATCATTAAAAATTTTATCATAGGCAGATTACTACTTCTTTTAATCTTTTGAAAGTTCATGCAATTGCAAAGCATGAGAATTTACCTTTTTTGAGTTTTGACTCATTGATTATAGGTTTAAGTTTATTTCTATATACTCAGAGTATAGTCATGTTTTCAATATAGGTGTGTGTGACTCTGCAAACGAAATATTACGTATTTTGAAACACAAAATGACTTAAAAAGGAGATATTGAGATGATCTTAATCGTATGTCAATTTGGTGCTAAATGGAGATTGATAGAGGTTGAAGAGACTAAAAGCCAAACAGCATACAAATGCAGGGAAGATAAACAAAAAGTAATTAATATTGTAAAGAAAACTAATTTTAGAAAGACCTGACAAACACTATACATACAAGGACTAAAACCATATTTAAACCTTGACTATATACATACACAGGGATTTATAAAAATTAACAAAAACATAAATGGATAAACAGTACTGAGAAACTTATACAAAATTGATGAAAATGACATTGACACTACTACAATAAAATGTCAACTGACCTGAACAATTGGCAAAGAGGGCAAATTCATATCGCAGCGGAAGTTGTGTATTAGTGTTTCCATATTAGATTTATAACTCTCAGCATCCTGTTTCGATAATGTATCACTCTCTCCTTGATACCATAATAACCCCTTGATCTCACAGCCATCTCCACAAATGGCAGCTTTTGCTCTACTAACCATGTTTTCATACAAAAGTTCCCCTCGTGCCCACTCCTTTAATGCAGTTCCACCTACAGCACATGGCACTAGGCCCATAACACCTACACTCTCCTTCATGGCATTTGAAAAAGACATTCCTGGTCCCACACCACAGGTCTTCTTGGTATCAATGTCGTAATGCAGTGGCTCAGCAGCAACCTCCCAGTGACGCTGTGCACTGAAACGGAAGATTTTGGATGGGTCAGGGCTACACTGAGAAGGAACTACTCCATCCCAGTGCTTGTGCTTGTCTACTCCACCACGGCCAGCCATGTTGCTTTGGCCTGATAGAATGAAGATATTCTTGGGTGACTGGACTGCAGAATTATTCTGGCTTGACTTTGAGTGCTCCATGTGAAAATGGTGTGAATCCGGATGCTCTCTTAGAAGAACCTTCTATGTGAGAAATAAATGATAGGATGAAATTCTTATTCGATTTGTTAGACTGATCTCCTTACAAGAGAATAAGAGTTTTGGTGCTGATTTTGCACACCATCGTCACACCTGCTCAAGGAAGTCACAGAATTCTAAAATGAAAAACAAACATAAACAGAAGAACTCTCAGAAACAGACAGCAGCCCGTGATTTTGCACATGCTTAGGGCAACTACAGTTTTTAAAAAGCATATCCGGATGCATCATGATATTTGTATTCATTCAAGGAAACGCAAATGAACATTCTAAAGGGAAATTAAGCAACTGTCAAGGAAATCGAGGAGCATTCTATAGAGAAAAATGAGTAATTAAAAAAAAATACTATGTTCAAGAGAGTCTCATACTCGCAATACAACGCCCTAAACTCAAAATCTCAATCGTGTAAATGGTTACAAATTGGGTCTGAACTAGCCAATAGGTACTTCTTCAAGCTCGAAACTACCATCCGCTAAAATTACAAATTATTACGAGAAAAACATAAGTAGAGATTATTGAAAACTAAAATGTACTGAAAAATCAAATTAGTTGACGGAAGAATGAAAAACTGCTGATACTTTGACGTATTAACGTATACTCCGTATCTCTTACCCAAAAGGAAAATGGAAATCGAAACAAAAAACTGTAGAGATGGATCAGTCCAATTACCCGGATGGCCGGATCAAGTGATGCAATCTAGTCGGAGAAAACGCCAGAGGGAAGGCCTTCATCCAAATCATGGGAAAAGGTGCAAATAGGCCCATGTACTAACCAAAAAAGGTCAAATAAGCCCTTATTTAGGAGGCTCTATCCGGCCATCGTCATTTGGGGTGGTTCCCGGTGAAATTTTTTGATGCAATTTTTTGAGCATCTTATTCATTAAGTCTAGTTAACTCATACCAAATTTCAGCTAAAACTTCAATCGGGAAGGCATACAAATGAATTCTTGAAGATAACTGCGCTTCTAACTGCGCAGTTATTTTCAAGAATTCATTTGAATGCCTTCCCGATTGAATTTTTAGCTGAAATTTGGTATGAGTAAACTAGACTTAATGAATAAGATGCTCAAAAATTTTCATCAAAAAATTCCACCAGGAACCACCCCAAATGGCGACAGCCGGACAGAGCCTCCTAAATAAGGGCTTATTTGACCTTTTTTTGTTAGTACATGGGCCTATTTGCACCTTTTCTCTCCAAATCATCGATAAATCCAACCACCTCTCCTGACTTCATTCATAAGTCATAACCGGTTACTCTGTTTTCCGTTGAAAAAAAAAGAGAGAGAAAACTGTAAAAGGCCTGAACAGTAGATTAAGGGAGTGTTTGCGATTGCTTCTACTTTAAAAAAGTGATTTTCTAAAGTGATTTTGGAGAAAGTACTTAATAGTAAAAGTTGGTAGTGTTTGAGAAAAAAGTGATTCTGAAAAAGTAAAAGTTGGTAGTGTTTGGTAAAATAAGTTTTTTTTGTGTAATAGAAAAAGTAAAAAGCAGTTTAAAGCACCCTTCTACCTACTTCCAGCTTTTAGCTTTAAAGTGATTAATTTAAGCAGAATCTGTCATTTGAAAACACTCTTTTCAGCTTTTTTTAAGCTAAAAGCTGAAAAGCACTTTTTAAAAGCTTCCGCAAACACTCCTTAAAGATGTTTCCTTTTGGACTGTTTTCAGTCCCAGACCAGATCAGATGCGACCAGACCAGACTTGACTTCCGTAGTTATAAAATACACAGATATCAGAGGTTTACCAGACCAGATCAAATTAGACCAGACCTGGCCAGCAAATTTCAGTCCAAAAGAAAACATCCTAACTAGTTGTATTTATACTCCGGGTTTTTTATATTAAAAATTTAAAATTAGGCAAACGTAGGGTATATTAACTATTAGTAATTAAAAGAATCCTTAATATAATTTGGTATCATAGCCTTAGGTATTTGAAGTTTTGACGTGAATATTATTAAAAAGTAGATTATGAAATAAAAATGTGATTTTTTCTAATTTTCATATTTATTAAACTTACTAAATTATCCATACTCTTCAGTGACTTTATATGATAGTGACAAGACCCGCCATAATGGCATCCGCCGTACTTACCACCCCCGGTTGGTGACGCCACCGGTACGGTCGTAGTGTGTGACATCGGCCACAGTGACCACCGCCCTGCTAATGATGACATTGGAGCTGTCACCCCTATGAGTGAGACCACCTATGTCACCTACCTCAGCCCCCTTTCTAGCTCTTCAGTCGTAATGCCCCTCCCCCGCTCCTCAACTCCTAGTCCCAGATCCACGGTCGTAGGCCTCCTTCCCTGAGCCATTAACCACAAGTCCACAACACCTACGTTTTCTGTAGCCCCGGCCTGACTAGCCACACAAAATCCTTCTCATCGCTCCCTAATCCTACCTTTTCCCTACCATCTGCATTACCCCCTAGCCCAACCCCTCCCAAGCTACCGCCCTGATTCCTCCCAATGCGATGTGACAGACGAAATTTCACATCTACAATCCATTGTACTACATTATTACTTTCATCCATATATGTTTCAACCATCACATATATGATTTTACGTCAATCATAAAATTGACAAAGTTTTGAAGGACGGAGGTAGTAGTAATTTATATCACAAATCAAACCACAATATGATAATACATTGATACAGATCGAATAAACACAAATTGAGTTGATAAAGAAATTTCACTAATAATGTATCTTTCATTTGATGGACTTGGTATAAACTAAGACCTAAGAGAAAAGAGAAAAAAATGACACAAATAAAATCATCATCATCCATCATCAACTAGTGAAAGAGAGCCTTCTAGGATCCTTTACATCAACCCTCCAGTGCTCATCAGGAAAACTACCATTCATCATAGCAATCCTTCTCCATTTCCGAATCCTGGCATCCATCTCATCACTCAGTCCACAATACTTCTGCAGACTTTTGGGCATTTTCTGATACACAGCCCACCACTTCTCATGAGCAGAATCACTCGCAAATTTGTGGTACTCCAACCTGTCCCAGTTACAGTCATAATCTCGATAACACGCCCATGGCTTCAACCCCAAATAATGTATGGCATATACATCTTCAGGCAACCGGTGTTCAGAGGCGGGTCTAGAAGTTTGAGTTTGGTTAGGCTGAAAAGCAATTATACAAGATTTAAACATCAGCGAGACAGTGAGTGAACTATATATGAAAACTGAAAAACGTTACAATGAAAATTGAAAAATCAAAATGTCATGTGGCATGGTTTCAGCTCACCATAGCCTTAATGTAGATCCTCTTCTCCTCATCGTTATGATTATGGTTCGCGAAAACCTTGAGCCTGTTCACGCCCATGGGCAGCCTATGCCACCACACAAACATCTCGTTCAGGAAACCCTGGTCGCCTCCATTGTAGGAGGCGACCTCGTACCTCCTCTCCATCAGCGCTTTGAAAGTGCATGTGGAGGGCTCCAGGATCATGACCCCGGAGTTGAAGAGGTGGTTGTCGTTCCCGGCGGCGGAGAGCTCCGGGAACGAGAAGAAGGCATCCATGTTCTTGACCACGATGATGTCGGAGTCAACGAAGATGGCTTTGTCGTACCCCATCGCTGCCAGCTTCTCCCATATCCGGAGCTTGCTATAGTTCCACTCGTTGTAGGCGTCTCTCGCCGCGTGAGGGCTGCGGATCCGCTCGATCGGCGCGGTGGTCCACCCGGCGAGGCGGAGGCCGGCGAGGGAGTGGGCGGAGATGGAGGAGTCGGCGAGGAGGACGAGGTCTTTGGTGGAGTTTGACTGGATGATGCTTTGACCTAATGCTATTGCTCCGCAGACGTACTTCTCCGAGGAGTGGAGAACCGTCACGTATGCTTCTCTTTGTTTCTTCACTGTTTTATTATTTGAGGAAATGGCTGCAAATAATTTATTTAAATTAAAACATGAATGATGAATTGACTTAGCAAATATAGTATTTTTATAGGAACAAACAAGACTTAAACGGATCAAAACAGACCAGACATCCATAATTATATAATACAAAACGACCAAAGATTTATCAGACCAGTTCACGTCAAAAGGCTAAAATAATTAAAATATATACTTATACTTCAACACTTATAGAATTTCAAAAAGCTAAAATAATAAAAATGTATACTTAACTCACACTTATACTTCTTTCAAAGTACGGAGTACCTACTTCAATACTTTAGAGCATCTCCAATGCTAAAATGTGCACGGTGCACATGTAGCATGAGTGATAGCCACATAAATATTAAAAAATAAATTATCTCTCTCCTTATTTGCATGATTTTATACAATTTTAGTAAGTTTTTCCCTGCAATGTCAACTGCAATGTCAACATTTAGACGGTCTCCTTGACATTGTGGAGAAAAACTTACTAAATCTGTATAAAATCATTAAAATAAGGAGAGAAAGAATTTATTTACTAATATTTATGTGGCTATCTCTCATGCCACGTGTGCACCGTGCACATTATACCATTGGAGATGCTATTAGAATTTCAAAACTTTCTCATTCATATTTTGCAATTTCCCTCTTTAGATGCAACTATAACTCACACTTTAACTCCAATGCGAGCATTATTTTAGCGTGAATTACTCTTCTATATTTTATACTCTTATGAGAACCACCAATAAATAAATTTGGTAAAACAATTAATTTTTTCTGAATGGTAAAACAATTCAACTTAAGAAAAACATCACAGGGGACAATTAAACTAGAAGTGAATGCGAACATAAATCTTTAAAATCACACAATCTAAGTATCTAAGTATTTAAGTTTAATCTTTCAAAAATAAAGTATTGAAATTTAATGTCCATGACATCGCAATAAATCAAGTAGTAATTTAATTATACTCTATATAAAGATGCTAACGATTATGCATCGGAATATCATGAATGGTAAGAACTTAAAAGGATATGATTTAATATGTATACACTTATGTGTACACAACTATACAAGGATGTTCCTCGCAAAAATAATAATAATAATGTTATTCTCTGGTCTGGTTTGTTCTTATCTGGTTTGGTCTGATAAATGTTTAGTCTATGCGTATTTTATAATTATCCAAGTCTGTTCTTGTCTTGTCTGATCTGGCCTGATCTGGGATTGATCTGGGATTGAAAATAATCCAAATAAAAACATGGTCATGCAATAAAATATGTAATAATTCTTTGGATCGAGTAATAGATAAAATTTAATTACCGTGTTGAACCATCGGACGAGCAAGTTGGCATGAACCCATGGGCATATCCACCTTTTGCTTCAATTTATGAAAATTGGGCTTGTAAATTCTAACATCTTCCTCATTCCATAACAAATTCTCACACCCAAAAATTTCAAACATGGGCTCGCATTTGCCAATGAACACAACGTAAACTGTCCCACTTCTTACCACCAAATTACTCACTACCAAATTTACTTGTAACTTATAGACATCCCTCTTGTTATCACCACATGGTGCCTTTGCTATCACCACGTCTAGCCCCGAGTACTTGTTCGGGTCGGGCATGGGAACCGTTGGACACTTGTGTCGACTTGAGGTGCTATCTTCATCGATCCACTCCGGAAACAAATTGCTCCATTTTATATGTTCGGAAACACGTCGAAATTTTACATTTACAATATCTACATTTTCACCGAACAAGTTGTTATGTAGCTTCACATCAACCAAACCGATTCTCATCATCTTCTTGTGCATGAGCTCATTCGCCAGAAAAGCATACCAACTTGGAGATTTCTTCAAATTGAATCGGGGAGAAAGATGGTGTGGGCTTAAAAAATAATGTAAATCAGTAAAGGTCAGGTAGAGGGCAAGTAGGGTGAAAAAGATGAGAAAAGTCATGAAGCATTTAGGCTTAGTTAGAGGAGGTTTGGAAACCATTTTTGCATTGCATGTAATTGTGTTTGCCTGCATGGTGTACATATATTTATACACTTACGTCTTAACTATTTTACCAAATAAATCCATATCAACAACAACAAAAATTTAAATTGGAGACGAAATCATTTCAAATGGTGCGCCAATGTAGGCATGCATATTTAGTTCGTTTTTATGGTTTTCATTTCCTAACCATTTCTGGATTTGTATTTGCTGGTTTAAAAAATGATAATTAACGACAAATAAATATTGATAGTGTACTACTTAAATGATATTTGTACGTCGTTACTAAAAATACGGGATTTGTACGTCAGATATATTCGCCAAAATATATTTTGACACGAGCTATTTCGTACAAAATCATCGACCAATTCATGTCAAATAATCTGTGTCAATCCCTATTTTTTGTCATGCGGAACAGACAAATTAAATTAACAACTGCAAATATACTCCATAGTATATTAATATTTTAACGAACAACACATCATAGTCACATGATGATAAATAATGTACTACGTAATAAAAATAGTAAATTTGATATAAATATTGACATTCATGTAATTTCCATTGTTATGTTTGCATTTTTAATTAGTTTTATAGTTTGTTATTTTGGAAATTACACGCTTTTAGTGTAATACTTTAGTTTGTTAAATATTTGTAATTTGTTTTGATTAGGATTATTCTGAGCTTAGGACATGTCAAAATCATCAAAAGGATCAAATGATGGATCCCAAAGACAAAGAATACGCAAAAGGGGCAAGATAAATCAAGGATTTGAAAATATTTCATGTACCCAATCGGGTGTAGGCAATACCCGATCGGGTACTTGATGTGATTCGAATGTCAAAATCAAATTGACGCAATACCAGATTAGGATTTTTCTCGTTTTACATGGATATATTCCCTTTGACGCAAGAGCAAAGTTCTTAATAAGTTTACTCATTTAAAAAACATGAAGCAAAATTTACTTCATGCTATAATTAAAAAAATTAAGAGTGATCGAGTAATGAATTTTATAATCACCATATACATTATTTGGTTCTTTAGTTTAGTATTTGACTATTCATTTTAGAAAGTCATATACAGACACACCGCGACAAAACAGTGAACCGGGACACAAACATTGCCATTTGCTTGAATTAGTTTGTGCCATGCTCTTTTTTGTAACTTAGTTATTCTCAAACTATCAAATTTTCATTCTAGCGAATTTTTGAACGGAAATTGACCTAAATAGGACTAATGAGTTCCTAAAAAGTACAAATAGGACTACTACTTTTAAAATTCCCTAAATAGGACTAAACATTGATTTTCTATCCTAAATACCCCTAAGAGTATTAATTCATAATGAAATGCTTTAATTCATAATAAAATCATAAAAAACGTAAAAAAATTATTTTAAAAACGTAAAAAAATTATAAAAAATTTATAAAAAATTTATAAAATAAAAAATTTGATTTTTTATTTTTTTTTAATTTTAAAAAAATAATAATAAAAAATAGTAAAAACCCATAAAAAAATGAAAAAAATTATGGATACCTTTCCCACCGCCTCTCGCCGCCTCCCAGCACCACCACCTCCGATTGTTGAAATTTCTTCCACTTTTGGTAAGAAAAAATGCCACATTTTTCTGAAAATGCCAAAAAGATGGCATAATTACTCTTCAATATGCCAACATTTTCATTGAATATTTCATCATTATGGAATTATTTAAAATGTTGGCATATTTTTCTCCAGTGATGGGAGCTGGTGGTGCTGGGGGGTGGCAGGGATGGTAATGTTTTTTTTTTATTTTATGATTTTCTTTTTATTTTTTTTATTTTTACTTTTTAAAAATATTTTTTATATTTTTTTAAAAAATATTTTTATTAATTTTCTATTATTTTTTTACGATTTTTAGTATTTTTTTTCGATTTTTATTAATTTTTTTATGATTTTATTATTAATTAAAACATTTCATATGTTACAAGGGTATATTTGTCCAAACACACATAAATAGTCCTATTAAGGGAATTTAAAAAATGTAGTCCTATTTGTGCAACTTTGCCACTTTTTAGTCCTATTTAGGGAATTGACTCATTTTTGAATGCGTATGTCATTCTGATTTTAATGCCACTTCTTCAAAATGAATTGTCACCTCATACAATTCAGTGTGTTTTTCTTGACTATGTATCTAAATATAAGGAATATCTTTATTTTGATCCTTAATTAAATAAGTACATTATATGCGAGTAGGAATGCTCATTTTTATGAAAAATATTAAAAGTAAATTTGAGCATGTTATAATTGGATATCCTGTTTAGTATGATGTGTATTGTGGTGCATAACATAATAAAAAGAGTGATAAGACCACAACAAGTTAGAATGATTCAAGTGGATCACATACCACACTTTAAATTTTTTCGGCATGAGAGGTGATTTTTTATTTAAATCACTAAGGAGATGAATTTGAGAGAACTTTTCCAAATGATAGTCCTCTAACGTCTTGAAACTAGCTTGAGGCTCTATGTAAGCGTGGGTTTAAATTCTTGCTCAAAGTGACATTGTTTGATCAATCAAAGGTGGTTCACCATGGAAGTATGGAATGAACTTGAGAACATACGAAGTCAATCAATTATAAGTAACGTTTAGCCCGCAGTGACATATAGATGCACATTGGGACCCTAACATATTCTTTAGCTGCTCTGATTTTTGGATGGGTTCCTAGGATGATAAAAGGTAAATAATAAAGCTGATAAAGGATAAATAAACAATAAGGTTGGAAAATGTTTGGTTTATTGAGTGCACAAGTCGCATGGTTACAATTGGTCTATCTACGTGAATATATATACATGCACATTCGGTACAAGCTAGGTGCAAAGAGAAAAGGAAGAAAAAATTACAAAAGGAAATAAAGAGATACATCAAAATCCTCTTGGTAATTAATATTTGCCTTGTAGGGAAATATATGGTCACGTAATATTGACAAAAGAGAATGATAAGAACATACAAGTATACAACAACAATAATATCCAAATTAAACCTTAACAACATGACAAAAGATATCCTCTTCTTTTTTTATACTCCCTCCCTTGTTAAGGCCTATCCTTTAACTTATTTCTGTTTCGAAATTCATTCATGTAGTTCACATTCAATTATTTTTTTCTTACATAACTACAACCATACATTTCCACTTTACAAAAAATCTATTGGTACACATTTTTCACACACACCTACACACTCATGTTTGTGAAGAGTATTTTTTTGTCTGTATACAGACATAACGTATTTGAAAATGTGTTATGTATGTATACAGACATAAAAATACTCTTCACAAACATGAGTGTGTAAGTGTGTATGAAAATGTGTACCTCAAGCTGGAATGTTCCACTTTATTCAAACTTCCTTAATTTGCGAGCCAAGTCAAACTAGGAAGAATTATTGGGACGGGGGAGTATAAAGGAAAAATATCCTCGTTTAAATTGTTCATACAATTTTATTCGTTTAGTTCGACTTTCCTCCCTCTTACATCTAAAGATCTCTAGCCAAACAAGTACTTGGTTCAGTTTAGTTCCATTCGCAACAAAGCCATTCCAACTGAGACTAGCATAAAGCCTCATCTATCTTTGGCAAATATCATACGCCCTTGTCAAGAGCAGGTACTAATGAAAATTAAACGGCATATCCGTGTATATAAGCTTCAAGCATACAAGGGTTGACTACTACTAACGTTCATCTCTACTGACTTCTGGTGAGAGAAGATCAATCCCAACTAAATAATTCAACCATGGCTGTGAGCAAGTCTTGACTACAACTCTCCTCCGTGCTTGGACTTCATCTAGTTATTATCACACAAACAAAAATAGCAACACTCCAAGTCGTCAATAGTCAATCTGCCAGCTGCTTCCTTTATAAAAGACACAGTTTTCTAGGAAGCACACTGAAAAGTGCTCAAAATTTACCTCTTCCTGATTTCTATTAAAGGAAAATCTACAAGAATGACATCCCATCCCAGAGGGCCTCCCAACACCAGTCGGACAGTTAACTGAGAAGATATAAATTGAACTCTAATCAAAAGTTGGCAGTTGGCAGTTGGCAGTTGGCAGATGGCAGATGGCAGATGAGTGTCTACTTCAGTAGAGGTGTAGAACAACTATCTTGAAACCCAGAAGCCACTCTATCAACATTGATCATCATGTACCCGTTTCATCTCACATTTACTCTTGGCCTCTTGTATCTTTCGCTGTTTAGGTAACTATCTGGTTGATTACCATAATTGTTGGTTCTGGGACCTGAATTAGAAAATCCTCCTCTACCACTTCTAAGATTCTTTGTTGACTCACCACCTCTGGAGTCTGTTCTAGACCAGTCTTTATTATCTCGGATGCTCTTACCATTCCTATGAAATTCCCTTGATCTCCTATTAGAGTCATCTGCAAAATAGTTTTGTGTCTTAGAAGCCCTGTCACGGCAGTCAGCAAAACTGGAACTACCCCTTTGACCTCTCTGCCTGCTTCTACGATAATTTAGGTCATCATCATCAGTCTCTATATCAGATGAATGCTCATATTTATTATTTGAGCTTCCTCTACCCCCAAACTCCCTATTGGATTTAATTCCTTTCTTGTGTCGGCTTCTGATATCATCATCGCTGTCATCTGACTCTAAACTAGAAGAATGCCTAGTAAACGTTCTTTGTTTAGATCTCTCAGTATCAGAGGAATGCTCATATTTGTTATTTGAGCTTCCTCTACCCCCAAACTCCCTATTGGCTTTCATTCCTTTCTTGTGTCGGCTTCTCATATCATCATCGCTGTCATCTGACTCTAAACTAGAAGAATGCCTAGTAAACGTTCTTTGTTTAGAGCTGGATAAATGACCATGGTTCCAATTTTTATGAATTGGACGTTCATTGTCAGAATCAAAATCAATGTCAGAATCTTCAGAGCTAGGCAAGGTGACTTTGTCAGGCATTGACTTGGACTTTCGACCATAAATAGAGTTTTTGTGGTGACGACCAAGCATATTATTATCATTAGCACCCAAATCTTCATCTTCAGAGTTATCTTCAAAATCGGAGTAATTGATTTGAGAACTTTTATGCATTGCATTTTGAGTATCTACTTCATAACTGTCAACGTCATCTTCCTCATCATCAAAATCATTAAATCCTAGTCCTGGCTGCTGGGGACTGGAATAATCTGTCTCGTACTCCCTTGGAGGCTTAGAAACTGCATTGTGTGCTTGCTTGTCTAGTGGAAAATCAACATCTAGTTTATGAGAATCTGCATACTCAAAGGCAGCGACATCGGCACCATCTGACTCGTCATCATCAAAGTTAAAATTCCAAGCATTAGAGACATTGTGTCGAGCAACCCTATTTGGCATCTTCTCATCTAAATCCATCCTGCGATTATTTTGCCTCTCCTTAAGTTGACTTCCAGTATAATCATCAGCTGGGCGCTTGCATTCACAATGAAAGCATGCCACATTTCTCCGATAGTTTAAGAAATTGCACCTAGAAGGCAGAAATGAGTACAAACACATCAAATACTGCACATGGATGGCATAATCTAGGAGGGTGTAGGTACTTTAATATTAGAATGTCACTAACTGGTCTGTAGAAATTTTCCCAGGTAAGTAAAGCTTACATTCAAAATCCAAATTCCGAAAATGAAGCATGATGAAATGGATTCCAACTCAGTACTTTCACATTAAACACGTGAAATACCAAAGCCAAATCGGATTACATTAGTCCATAATGACCTACTCCAACCTCTATACAATGCGGAGTATTAGAATAGCTACACCAAAGTAGGGGTGTCCCCGGTTCGGAACCGAACCGCCGGTTTGCGGGCCCAGATTTTGGGGAACCGGTACCGCACAATAACGGTTCCAAAACCGGCAGTTCCGGTACCAATCCGATTGTTCCGGTTCAAATTTTTATTTTTCAGAAATTAAATAAACTTTGGTTGATTTTTTAAAATAAATTAATAGAAGGGTTCCCTAAAAATTATTAGAAGAACTAATATCTATCATTGTTATAATAAAGTACAATAATAAGATAGTTAATAGCTTATTAGTTTCTACAAGAATAGCTAAGTTCCAAAGTAGTTATAAATTAGGTTGTAAAAATCTACAAGCTAGTATTTTAAAATAATTTAGTTATATATGATTTTTTTTTTAAAGAGTTATAAATGAATTATGAATACTTGTTAGTTGTTACTAATAATTTTAGAAGAAAGTATTTTAAGTAGTACGGAGTAATAACTAATGAGTAATAACTAGTAACTATTATTAGTACAACTAATACTATTACGATTTTTCTTATTATCATTGGTGTTTTTTGCAAAAATTAGTATTATTAATAATGATATTATTAAATAATTAATTTAAAAAGAGGTTTCAATCAGAACCGTCCGGTTCCAAACCGGAACCGCCGGTCCTGGTTCCAATTTTCGGAAGAACCGAACCAGACTAGTAAACCTCCAGTTCTAAACCGCAAGTACCATGCTTTCTGGTTCAAAACCGGCGGTTCTGGTTCTGGTTTAACCGGAGACTGCGGACAGACTCCACCTAAGGAACCACAAGATCATATCCCCCCACTGACTCCAAATTACTTTTGCAGCAATATTCGGCAAAATACCGGAAAATGAAGATGATACCAGAATTAAAGGTGTCCCCAAACCGGAACTGAACCGGCTGAACCGCCGGTTCGAGGTTCCATACTTTAAGGAACCAAAACCCGAACCGCACAGTACTAGTTCCAATTTTTGGGAAAACCGAACAGGATTAGTAAATCTCCGGTTCCAAACCGGAAGTACTATGTGATTCCGGTTACAGTTCCGGTTCAATAACCAGCGGTTCCGGTTCCTGTTAAAACTGTTAGGTTAATCTTTTAGAATGAAGATACTAGTCTTACTATAATATCAAAGCCAGGTCTAATTGTGGTTTGTATATTTATTTGGCCTCCATAGTTGAGGGTAGCTCATCAGCCGTAGGTTTGACGTGTTCAGCCCGGTTTGGGTCGCCATTTTAGACTAAAGGGGCATGTTGAAACATTGTCTTACATTGGTTGAAAATAAAATACTAAACCAACATACACAATCTTGGAATACTCCTAACTCCAAAGATTAACTTTTTTTACAATGGTTTGCTTGTTTGTTTATGTGGCATGTAGGACTAAGCGTAGTCTATTTGAGATCTTTTTAATCCATTTATCCTCCCTAATGTTGTCCAGCTCAGTGTTGTCCAAGGAAGCATGTTGAAGTGACATCGGATAAATATAAAAATAAGATACTTGACTACTTTTCATATTAGGTTAATACTTTACAATGAAACTCCTGGTCATAATATGAATCTAAAAGTGTATCCAACAATGGTAAAGGCAACCAATATGATTCAAAGTCATTCATCTGTCCCCGCATTAACCCGCACATTGTCTTGTGCAAATGACATAGAAATATAATATTAAAATCTCTTCTCACCAAGCTACATCATTATTACACATTTTTGGACAATTTGGCTTCTTATCCATCATGCTATTCAGCAAAAGCACACATTCTTTCATAACATTATTTTGCCATTTAATATATCTCAATCAGTATAACATCATAATTATTCCATGCATCTTTATGTGTGTGTCCAAATGTCTTTTAATAGTAAATATATATGTCAATATTGAAATAGCATTTAGTATACATGATCCAAGCAACTGAACAAGTAAGGTTTGCATACCACATTCCATATTAGCATACCACATAATCTACCTCCTAATATACTCTTAAAATAAAGTTGCAATATATTGCTCTGTACGTCCCAGCCAGGCCCATGAACCAGAACTTCCAGAACTTCTGGTTACTCCGTTACTTCAAAAAAATCACAAACATTTCTCCTTTATCCTGTCCTCGCCCTGGGCAGGATGAAGTGTACTTTATTTTCTTTTTATCACATTGTTCCTAATTTTTATTGGAGAAGTGTTGAAGCTCAGCTCTGCAGACATTGGAGCCTGTTATGGTAATTTATGTTTCATTTAGGTTATTAGTTTAATACACATGAATGAAAAAGACTGGTTCAACCCAACTACAGTAGTCCATAATATCCAACTGGAGCAAACAACATATAGAAGCAACATTTGGATGTACAAGAATGATGTGTCCCCTTACCAAGCCAACATTCTTTCACGGCATAAATAAATAAATTACAAGCAAGTATATAAGTCATGCAGAGATGAGAAAGGAAGATAGGTACATACTGGGGACATTCCCATTCTCCTGGAAGCAGCTGTCTCTTAGGACGCTTGGCATCACATTGTAAGCACACAGTATTCTTGGCGAAGTTCATAAAGTCACATCTGAGAGCAAACTTTATTATCAATTACAAGGAAACTGTAGAGATACTTAACTATATATGTATGGACTCTTAAATTACAAACTTCAATTGTTATATAATATGAATACATACTCAAGCAGTTTTAATTAGTTATAAGAAGAAGGTGATCATCTGAAACCCAACCATTAGATTCTAAATATGAAAGCTGATTTAATAGATCCCAAATTTGGAAATATTGGAAAACTAAACCCCTAAAAAATGCAGCACACGGGTACAATGTTAGTAAAATCTAGGGAAGTTCGGGTTGGATTAGTTCCGTAGCGGGAGAGATATCATCAGAAGAAAAGACATCATGCAAGAAAATAGGATTTAAAATGCTTAATAAAGATTGCTGAAGAACAAACCTCATGTCATCACAGTCCTAACTATATTAGGACTTAGGGTCAGTGTTTTGGAACGTATAGTATCAAACAATTGGTTTCAATTAGTTAACACTTCAAATCCATGCAAAGCATAGTGGAATATGATTTAGCTTACTTTGGACATAGCCAATCTCCTTTCTTCATTTCAACATCATCACGCCCAACACGTTTCTTAGGAGTAGGCGGTGGCTGTTTGACTTTGGGTGGGGGCTTTTTTATAATAGGAGGTGGAAGATTTGGGTCTATTGGAACAGCACTTATCTTGACCACATCATGAAGCAATTTTCGAATAACACTCTTCACAGCTTTCATCTTCAAAAGAGACTTATTAGCAACTGAACCATTCACCGGATCAAAGGCATAAGCCAATAGAACACGCATAACATCAATAGTCCTAGCCTCATCCTCCTTATTTGTGAGTAGGTATGCTTTTTCACAAGTGCTCCTCAAACTACAGGAGCTACAAACCTGGATACATGTATGGTAATTGAACCATGAATATTATATAACAATCGTACTAGCCTAGAAGGCAACAAGAAAACAAAAGAAAACCATACTTACTTAGTTCAAAGAAAGTAGAGATTAAATTAAGAAGAACAACAAACTAAGATCATATCCATACATACATCTCCTTCGTCCAGATGTACATGTTTCCTCAATAGTTTGGCTGAAAAAACAAGCCTCTTATCTGCACTTGGGCACCCATAGCCAACAAGTATTTGTATATCCTGTCGAGGCAATGCCCTAAAATCAATTGTTGGAGAAAAATAATCAGCCAACCACTGTAGTTGTCATTTGGCTTTCATATTTCATTTCTTCATTCAAATAGCTAACATTTAAAAATCTAAACTGCATTAAAAATAGGTAAAAATATAGAATTTTCATATGAGTTTTGATTAAAGTAATGTAATATAGAATGAGATAACACAAACATAAGGAAAATAATAAAAACATCTACTAATAACCGATTTAATCTTTAAACAATACAGGTAAAAATAATAAAACACCACATGACTATGTAATTAGTAGTTGCATGACTTAATTATCAACTAATAACATTAGACAACATAGTACTGCCAATTTTATTTGTTTTAACTGACTTCTATATTTTATCAAAATAAGCATAGTAACATTTAAATTATATAAAGAACCAATTTGATAACATTGAACTTGGCTGAATATGTTACTGTTAAAAGATTATAATTAAAATATGTTTTTATTAATAAAACAAAGAAAAATATATGTAAAAATAGCTAAAACAGTCTCCTCCAATAATTTTAGTCAATTAGTTCAAAAAATAACCCTAATCTTACTTATTTTGATCATTACACAATCTAACGTGCGAAATAAAAAATGTATGCATTTGATAAAAAAAGTGGCTAATAAGACTAAAAACTGAAAAATAGTAGTTATAAAACGGACTCTAGATATATACACATAGTAACATAGTAAATCTTTGTTCCTTAGGGAGTGTTTTCAAGTGATAGTTTTTGCTTAAACTAAGCACTCAAAAGCTAAAACCTATAAGCCTTAAGAGCAGGTTATGCAATGTATAAGAGCATGCCATTCGTGTATCAAATAATAAGAGAGACCTTAAGACATCGAATCTGTCCCGACCAAAATTGAGAACAGCAGTCTCAACAGTCTTCCAATCCCTAGTAAAGTCGAGCCCTTCCTGTTCTGCAACAGCAGAAACACTGAAACCTGAGTCCACAATCATCCTGTCCTCGTCTTTTCTCATGTGATCAAAGTAATTTTGCTGAACCAGCCTCTCCATAAGCTCAATCCACTCCGGCCAAGGGTGAACCAACTCCACCTTCTTAGCCATCAACCCGCCTTGACCAGCAGCAGAACACTTCTCCTTCTCCGGACCCATCTCCGTCCACTCATTAGGAGCCGAACCCTGAGTTTCCGTTTGCGGCTGGGCTTGGGGTTGTGGTAGACTTGACTTCTTGGATTCACGCCAGGCGCGTATGCGTTGGAGTGTCTGGTCTTTTTCCACCCGCTCCTCCTGGATGGCGTCAATTTGATCAAAGACAAAGCGCATCCGGGCGGACAAAGAAGACGGTTCTGGAGGGGCGTTAGTGGAAGGGGCAGAGGAGAGAAATGGCCGGCGCTGTAGCGAGAGAGAGATGAAGGGTTTTGGGTTTTGGGGAAATATACGTCTGAGAAGAACTGTTACGGCCATTTTTGGTGAAAAGAGTGGAACGTAAGAGTGGGCTCAGGCAGTGCCTCGCCTATTCATCCATCCTCGGACGGGAGACTATGCTAAACAACGGATCCCTGATTCAATGCAGCTGAATAAAGGATGCTAAAATATGTGATGTTTTGCACCTTTTAGTTTTAAGACCTAAAAGTCACAGTTTTACTACTCCCCTCGTCCCGAAATAAGGGAGTGTTTCCAATGGTGTAACACTTTGAGCCCGTTTGGTAGCACCAAAATCGGATGTTTTGGCTGATTCTGCTGAAATTTATGATATTCTGGCTGGAGTGGCTGTTTTGGCTGATTCTGCTGATTTAAGAAAAAAAAAATTTGAAAAATATATTTTATTAATAAATTAAAGAAAAAATTATATGTAAAAATAGCTAAAATGGTCCTCTACAGTAACTTCAGCCAATACAGCCAGAAAAGTAACTTCAACCTTACTTTTTCGGCTTATTACACAATTCAGCGCGCGAAAGTAAAAGTTACGTGTTTGGTGAAAAAGCTGGCCGATAATCCTGATAAGCCGAAAACAGAGTTCTCCAAACGGGCTCTTTGTTTGCAAATATTTGTGCTTAAATAAAAGTATTTTTGGAGAAAAAGTGATTAATAGTAAAAGTTGATAGTGTTTGATAAAATAAGTGTTTTTTGTGTAACAGAAAAAGTAAAAAATAGATTCTACACGAAAGCCAAGAAAGTAAAAGTTGGTAGTGTTTGGTAAAATAAGTGTTTTTTTCTTAAAAAAAAGTTAAAAACACTTTTTTTAATGTGTTGCAAACAGACCCTAAGAAAAGCTTGTCTTTTGGTCTAAAAAACACTTATTTATCAAATACTTTCAATTTTTATTTTTTCTCGGTTTGCATGTGAAAAAGTGTTTTTCCCTTTTCCATTACACAAAAAACATTTATTTTATCAAACACTTCCAACTTTTACTTTTCAAAATCACTTTTTTTTCAAACACTGTCAACTTTTACTACTAATCACTTTTTCATTACATCTCCAAAAGGGCTTTTTTTTAAGCAGAAACAACTGCAAACACTCCCTAAATGTTCTGCTTTCTTTTTCGGTCTGTCCCAAAATAAATGTCTCACTTCTTTAACTTCCTCATTTGGTAAATGAATCTATACCAAATAATGTCAAACAGTGAAAAACAGTATCACTACAGTGCGAAATAGTGTCGCTACAGTACCGAAGAGTATACAGTCAAATTCATTTTATTAATCTTTTTGAAATTCAAAACGGGACGTTTATTTCGAAACGGAGGGAGTACTTATTTTTAAAAAGTGATCGTATAAAACAAATAATTTGTTTGATGTTGAGTCCTATACCGCCTAATTGCTATTTTAGAAAACCACCAATATTCTTCACACTGCATCAATGAATTCATCAAAACTGTATCAATTTTCAATTAGAAATTTAAATTGAGATAGAGGTAGTATTTGGTAAAATTTAAGAGCAACATTTTCCATACTCATAAATAGCTTCTAAAAGAGTTTATAATTTTTAAAATAACTCCCAAAAAGTGTTGTAATAATAAACATACAAAGCGCATGTTTGGCACAAATGGTTGGAAGATAATTTTTGAATTTTTTTTCCCGAAATTTTTAGTATTTGCTAAACACTGCGTATATAATAGAGGACTACAAATTTATCATATTGAAATAATGATAATTATTTTATAGTTATTTTAAATGTAATCATTTAAATATTAATGAAAATAGTTTCTCGCCATAAATAGTTGAAAATAATTCATTTATTGTTATAAAATGGAAGGAAATAAGCAGAAGATCAGGGAGAGAAAGTATAGTCTGAATACTTAGTGAGAAAGATGTTATTAGAAGTGTGATAATGGTGTAATCTTAGTGTGTTAATTACAATGGAGAAGCCTCCTATTTATAGGAGAAAAGTTAAGCTTCATAGGATTAGAGGATAATTGTGAACCACACAATTATCATCTAGAATCATAATTATGATTTCCTGATTATTTATGTAATGGTGATAATAATTCCTAATCAGAAATAGTTGGAAGATGACTAATTCAATTATATTTCAACACTCCCCCTTGAATGGTCATCTTCTAATTATTCTGGGGTATTAGATTCATAGTATTATAATGTACTGTCTCGTTAAAAACCTTTGTCAAGAAAAACCCAGTGGGATAAAAACCTGACGAAGGTAAAAAGAGTGCAGTGCATTATATTACTCCCCCTCAATTTAACATATATCTCGAAGACGATACATTCCAATTTTATGGACCAGTTCTTCAAATTTCTTTGGTGCCAATGACTTTGTGAACAAATCAGCAGGGTTGTCGCATGACTTGATTTGTTTGACATCAACCGTTCCGTCATTCTCAAGATCATGTGTGGAGAAAAGTTTTGGTGCTATATGCTTTGTTCTGTCCCCTTTGATGTAACCTCCTTTGATCTGAGCTATACATGCTGTATTATCTTCATAAATCACAGTAGGATTAGAAGTAAAAGATTTTATACCGCATTCATTTTGTATGTGCTGGATCATTGATCTCAACCAGACACACTCACGACCTGCTTCATAAAGAGCAATTAATTCTGCATGATTTGATGATGTTGCAGTTAATGTTTGCTTCATTGATCTCCATGATATAGCGGTATCACCATAGGTGAATAAATATCCTGTTTGTGATTTTGCCTTTTGTGGATTAGACAAGTATCCTGCATCCGCGTAGCCAATTAAAGTGGCATTTGCACCATTCTTGAAATACAATCCAAGATCGATTGTACCATTGAGATATCGGAATATATGTTTGACACCATTCCAATGCCTTCTTGTTGGGGAAGAACTGTACCTGGCTAATAAATTTACAGAAAAAGCAATATCTGGTCGAGTATTATTAGCCAAATACATTAATGCTCCAATAGCACTCAAATATGGTATTTCGGGACCAAGGATTTCTTCATCATCTTCACAAGGTCGGAAAGGATCATCATGCACATTGAGAGATCGAACCACCATTGGAGAATTGAGCGGATGTGCTTTATCCATGTAAAATCGCTTCAAAAGTTTCTCGGTATAATTTGATTGGTGGATGAAAATACCATTTCTCAAATGTTCAATTTGAATGCCGAGACAAAATTTTGTTCTCCCAAGGTCTTTCATTTCAAATTCTTTCATGAGATATTTTGCAGTATTTTCAATTTCATTAGGAGTTCCGATTATATTCAAATCATCAACATATACTGCTGATGGATAGTCTACCCGGGAGGTATCTTATCCGAGGGGTTATTGCGGGAATAACTAGAGAGAAATCAGAGTAAATAGGAGGAGAGAGAGTCGATTTTATTAAATGAACTCAGCGTGTGGAGTTGAGATGTAGATGATGATTTACAAGGAGAAATGGGCTGCTATTTATAGCAGCAATAAATGCGATGAGAGTACACGTGTCAGTAATCCAACGGCCGAAGGGTCACATCAGTCGGGTGGCACCGGCAGTGGTACGTTCACCGCATTGAATGCAGTTGGTGGATGTGACGTGGCATTAAATGCGGTGGTTGGCTGTCTCCAAAAGGAATCTTCGATGATTGAGCATGTTTGGCCGAAGGCTTCCTGTGTAGCCGAGGGCTCCACGTAGCCAAGGATCCCTGTGTAGGCGAAGACTCCTTGTGTAGCCGGGGGCTCCACGCGGTGAGGACCCCTGTGTGGCCGAAGGCCCTGTGTGACCGGAGGCATGGTTTAGCCGGGGGCTTCTCTGATGCCGAGGGCTAGATAATGCCGAAGGCTCATGTTTTTCGCCGTTTTCTCCCAGTAGCCTCTTATGCCAGAGAAGGCTACCCTGTGAGGTTGGAGCCTTCGGTCAAGGAGGCCGAAGGCACCCCAGTGCGTATTCTGGGCTACGTTGAGGCTTGGGCCGCTGCATTTTGGGCCTGAGTTGTTCCCTGGGCCCAATGAACTTGTGCAGGAGAAGTAGGAGTCTATGGGCCGGGGGTTCCCGGGCCATATACTCCATCAGGAGTCCCTCACTCCTTTTGCCGAAAGGTACTTGAGGGAAAAGGAGTAGATGTGTTGATTCTTCTGGGGGCTTCATCATTTAGTTGGGCGCCCTTGTTTGAGAACTCGCCTTCTACTGATTGCCGAAGGCTTCCCTCAGTCCCTCACATGTCGAGGGTTTTCTGAGGGAAGTATAACACCTGTATGACTGCCGAAGGCTCTCCTCAGTCCCCCCCATGTCGAGGGTTTCCTGAGGAAGAGTATGGATGTGTTGCCCGTATGTGTTGTTATGAGGGCTGCTTCATTTCCGCAAGTGACTTGGTGAAAACTTGTGATATCCTGCCTTTGCCGAAGGGGTTCCACTTTGATGTTTGTCCGGAGGCTGCATGCGTCAATTGTAAATTGTTTGTATGAAGAAATTTTTGTTCTGTATGATTCCCGAGGGGTATACCCCAGTCCCCCACTCCTTTAGGCCGAAGGCAAGTTCGGGCTGAAGGAGTTATGATGTGTTGATGCGAACCCGAGGGGTGATAATACTGACAAGTCGGGGGCTTACGCTGCCGCAAGCTCGAAGGCGTTTGATGAAATTTGCTGGCAGAAGGGTGTGGTGAGTGATAGCCGGAGGCTACCATTCGAAAGCACCCCAGTTTTGCCGAAATATAGTCGTTGTAATATAGCCGTTGGAAGAGGGGTTGACGTGGCGTGTCCTCGTTGGTCGAAGGTGGGCGGGTGCCACCCATTGGCTGAGCCGGCGGCCCGTAATGATGGCCTTTTTAAATCGAGGCCCAGATTTCGAGGCTGGGAACCTATAAATACCCCAAGCCCGAATTCATATCCCTTGTGCGATTTTTGTGATAGCGAAGCTCTGCCCTTTTGTTTTCTAGAGAGAGAAAACCCTGTTCGATCAAACCCCAAGTTTCGAGGTCAGTTCTTCACCGTTCTTCGATTCTTCTAGCATACTTTGCTCTATTGTTCTTAGATTAAGTGTTAGAGCCTTCCTAGGAAACCCCTAGTATCCTTCTTTCCTTCCATACTTGCGTTCTCTCGATTCCGAAGGATGTCATCAGCAAGCGATTCCCAGAACCATTCGAGGGAGCCCTCAGCTGTAGTAAGGAGCTTTTCTGATTCGGAGTCATCGAGCGAGCAGTCCTCGACCAATAATGACCTTGCCGTGGCTGAGGAGGTACAGAGTAACCTTCGGGTTGAGCTGGAGGCTGAAGAATTTGAACAAGTTGCTGCTGATGAAGAAATGGCCCTCGCACTCCAAGTAGCTGAGGAAGAAGAAGAGAGGGAACGACAGGAGGTTACGGTCGCCGTCTTGCCCCTTCGTGGATCCGGGGAGGCGAGTACCTCCCGGCCTCTAGATCCAGAACCCCTCAGCGTCGCCGTGGGAAAGAAAAGGAAGAAGACGAAAGCTCCCCAGAAGAGCAAGCAAACCGCCGTTGACTGCGGGAAGCCCGTGGGAATACCGGAGGGGCATTCGTGGCTGAATACTGCTGCCCTCGCTCTGAAGTCGAGGGCTGATCGGGCCGAATGCTACGTTACCCAGCTGCATGTGGGCCCCTCGGCCACCGTGATCGAACCGGGGCCCAACGATCTCCTCTCCCAAGCTCCCGAAGGATGTTTCGCCGTCCATGTGCTATCAGTTGCCATGGGCCTTCGGTTCCCGCTGCATCCCTTCCTCCTCGAGTATTTGAGGTATGTGGGTTTAGCCCCCTGCCAGCTAACTCCAAACAGCCACTCCTACATCACCGGCTTCCTCCAGCTTTGCCGGTCCCGAGGTGTAACGGCGACCCTCGATCTCTTTTTCCAGAGCTTCAACCTTTGCCGAGGGGGCCATACCAATTCCGAGGGGTTTGCAAACCTGCAGCAGCTTGCCCCCTGGAGGCTTTTTGACGATGTACCTTCGTCCCACAAAGGATGGAAGGACCGCTTCTGCTATGTCAAGATGGCAGAAAATCCGTTCCCGGGGGAGTTGCGCAATCACTTCAAGAGGCACCCGAAGGTGGGAAATGCCGCACTTCAGAAGGACGGGAAGAAGATTGCCGCTCTGCCACCGGGGGCCACAAAGCATGTGACCGTTAAGGATTCCACTCTCCCCGATGACTTGCTGGCCCTAGGCTTCAGTCGGTACCGTTTTTTGGGCGAGAAGGATGAACAATACCCAGTCCTTGAGAGAGCCTTCGGTGGCAATGGAGGTAGTTACCGGAGGGTCCGCTTTATTGTACTTAGGGTATTTGCATGTTCTTATTTCTCTTCCCCCGTCGTTTGAACCCTTTGGTCTGACCTCGTTGTTTGTTTTGCAGGTGTTAGCATGGACGTCTCCAGCTTTGCTGCTCTGAAGAAGAAGCTGGCCAAGGAGCCAAAAAAGAAGAAGGAGACGGGGGTTCAGAAACCTGTCGATGAATTCTTCAAGAACGATGGGGCGTCTCAGGCCCCGGAGGGGGAGGGACCCTCCAAAGCAGGTGATACCGGTGCTGGTGTCGGGGGCTCCAAGGGGGAGGAGCTCAAGAGAAAGAATTCCGGGAAGGGTGTCGCTCCCCCGGAGAATAAGAAGCAGAAGAAGGGGGCCTCCGGGAAGAAGGATGCTCCCATAGTGATAGTCGAGGAGCAGCCTTCCTCGAATCCTCCTGCGACTACCCCTCCTCGATCTCCTCCATCCCCGATAGACGAGGGAATCCGCCCGGCGGAGATCATCCAGTTCCCTGTCAAGTCGGGGACCTCAGTTATGCATGGCACCCTTCATCCTGTCGGCTTCATGAGGGGGGTCATGGCGCCGAAGGATAGGTCAGTGCTGGCCCGCCTCGGGGATGACATCCTCGATTATAAAGTCGCGAGCTACAGCACTATGGTGAGTTGTCTTCCCTTTTTATCTCCTTCAATTCTTTCTTTTTGACGATAGCCCCCGGTGAACCATTCTGATGCCATATTTTCGTTTATGTGCGTTTATGTGCAGGCTGCCTTGGCTGCTTCTGAGCAGGCCCGAAGGGTTGAGCAGCTGAGGATTGCCAAGTGCCAGGCGGACGAGGCCCTGAAGAAAGCTGATGAGGAGAAGGTCACCCTTAGGCAGAGGGTTGCTGATGTGGAGGCGAGCCTTCGGCTGGAGAAGGAGGCCACGGAGCAAAGGCTCAAAGATGCTGAGGCCAGAGGGAAAGCCGCAGCCGAGGAAATTGCCGCAGTTGCCGCCAAGACCGCCGCCGAGGCCGCCGATATCGCCAAGGCCGAAGCGGTAGCTAAAGCTGAGAAGAAGGCCGTCGAGTCTTTTCTTGCCGAGGGCTGGATGGCAGCTGATTATGAGGGTTGGGTGGCCTCGGTGATGGAGAAGAGGGTGGATGCTTGGACCCAAGGCCCCGGGGCTATGTGGCTGGCCCGGAAAGGCAAGGATTACTACGATGGCGGGGAGTTCTTCACTCAACGCTTAGTGTACCGGAGGCTGGCCCGGCATTTGAAGATAGAGCCAAAGGATTTCAACCCCGCGGCGTATGGTCTCCCCCTCCTTCAGCCAGACGTTAGAGTGCCACTTCCCCCGGGCGAAGAGAGACCGGATCTCGAAGACTCGGAGCTGCTGGCAGAAGCCGAGGATGCCGAGGAGGAGGTTGGGGATGGCGCTACCTCCGAGCCGAAAGTTGATGCGGCCCAAGGAACTCAGACTTAGGAATTTTTTGATGTATCATTTTGTAATAG